ATTGACTGCTTCACCCATCGACCTACTGCGCCCATTGACTGCTTCACCCATCGACCTACTGCGCCCATTGACTGCTTCACCCATCGACCTTCTGCGCCCATTGACTGCTTCACCCATCGACCTACTGCGCCCATTGACTGCTTCACCCATCGACCTACTGCGCCCATTGACTGCTTCACCCATCGACCTACTGCGCCCATTGACTGCTTCACCCATCGACCTACTGCGCCCATTGACTGCTTCACCCATCGACCTACTGCGCCCATTGACTGCTTCACCCATCGACCTACTGCGCCCATTGACTGCTTCACCCATCGACCTACTGCGCCCATTGACTGCTTCACCCATCGACCTACTGCGCCCATTGACTGCTTCACCCATCGACCTACTGCGCCCATTGACTGCTTCACCCATCGACCTACTGCGCCCATTGACTGCTTCACCCATCGACCTACTGCGCCCATTGACTGCTTCACCCATCGACCTACTGCGCCCATTGCCTTCAGTACCCAGTGGTTTGATTGCTGCACCCGTTGACTGGTTACGTATTCATCTCGTTCATCCATTGACCTGCTGCCCCCATTGCATGATCGTTAGAGGCGACTAAATTTGGTATTTTATCTTTTCTGTTCTTTCTAAACAACTTTATTTTTCCTAATGTCTCCCTTGACAATGCCTCACTTTTGGCCTTTAGTTCCACCCATTGTTCTGCTTCACCCATTGTTCTACAACACTCATGGATATTCTCAACTTATTGATCCGCTGCATCCATTGGTCTGTTGCATCCATTGATCTGTTGCATCCATTGATCTGTTGCTGTTGCATCCATTGATCTGTTGTATCCATTGATCTGTTGTACCCATTGATCTGTTCTACCCATTGATCTGTTGTATCCATTGATCTGTTGTACCCATTGATCTGTTCTACCCATTGATCTGTTGTATCCATTGATCTGTTGTACCCATTGATCTGTTGTACCCATTGATCTGCTGCACCTATTGATCTGGGAGTTCCACTCATTCGCTGCTACGTCCATGGACTGTTGCATTAATTAACTTTACTTATCATGCACCAAATCATTTGCTTTACCTACTTATTGCTGCATCCAATGACTGCTTCTCCCATTGACCTTCTGTGCCCTTTGACCTCCTGCACTCACTGACTCGGCTGCAACTACTGCAGTACTGAATTTTGTCCTTATTTAACCTTTCACCAAACCCTCTATATTAACGAAGTCCCTCCTAGTACACCTACCGTCACTTACATATTTTCAATTGTTTATCCGTATTGTACCTTATTTTGAGATGATGGGTAGTTCGGATACAATTGATTAAATAAATGTGTTGAAATAGGTTAAAAGTTTAAAAAAAAAACAAAAAAAACCATAGGGAAGCGTGGACCTCATACCTGTTGATTTCACCTAATGTCCGCTGTTGTCCATAACACAACAAAGACATCAGCACCAAGGCCACTTTTTACTTTTGGAATTCAGGACCAGTTCGTGTTTAATGCAGAATTCCGTTTACACAGGTGATATAATGTTATCAATAAAATGACTTCACATAACTATAGGGGGCACCTATATTTGTATTTACCTCCCCCCTCCACCGAGATCCAACATCAAAGTAGCCAAGCAACCTCAGAATGCACAGCAGAAAGGGTTAGGGAATGAAGTTTAAGTTTATATGTCAGATAACTCCATATCAACTTAAACGAAATCAGAACAAATTATCCGGAATACTCACTATACCAACGGTGAATATTCCGGATGTGAATAATAGTGAGAAAGTTAAATAAAACACACAAAAAACATTCATATTCGGTTGGTACATCAAAATGTTGAATAGGTGCGGGGTATATTTCGAAGGACCATTGACAAATCATGGATCCGCCGCATGTCATGACTACCTTGATATGACGTCACAAGGTAAGAAAAATGGTTGTATATCTTTAACACCGAATCCACTGCTTGTATAACCACAGATTCTAGCATTACATGTTCGTGAAAGAGTCCATGAAGCCGGAGGCCTGAAAACAGTCTTAGCTGTGGCTTGTCACCTCTGTAGTCCACCAATGACGTTTGTAATACCCGAGTAGGCCGAGCGTCCATTTCCGGGTAGAATGGTGTAAACTTAAAATGAAGATTAATCATTGGTCGATATTCCACCGATCAATCACTTACCTGGCCTACCTGACAGGTGAGAGGGGCTTCCTAGCATGAGGTGTCCGAAGTCACCAGGTAGAAACCCACGTACGACTGACATCACAGGTGTGAAAATTGCCTCAGAAGCTCAACGTCTGCCAATCCGTATAAAAGGTATGTCTTTATTAGAATATTTCATTTCGAAACTGACATTTTTTCGACGAGGACTAACTTAAAACGAAGGTAGGGACATTTCATGCACCGATATGGAATTAATCGTATCATACATAGGTTTTTATAGTTCCTGGATTATAACTACCAATATTTGTTTTTTTAAGTTCCAGGATTCCTATTACCATAGGTATTGTTTTCGTGTTTGTACTTATGTGTCTCATGTAACAATGGCAGATTTAGAATATCATCCTGCATAATTTTCTGATGCTTGGTATTCTACACGAAACATATTCAAATACTGTACCACATTGAGCAAATTTTTCTCGGTATCCTACAAGAAAAATATACAGTTACATTGTAACAATACTGTTCCACATTGAGTACATTTTCATTCTTTTCCAAATAAGGTCATAACACCAAACAACCAAAGATGTTCTTGAATTTACTCAAACGTACTATATACATATGTTTCATATTTTAATATTAAAATAATTGACAGTAAGGATAAACATCTACATACATTTATTATATTAAAACATCATCATTTTATGCGCCATTACAAGAACTTTTTCCAAATGACTGATCGGTCTTGACGATATCTCTGTTTTGGTTTATATGGCAAGCCAACTGAACAGCTATTCCAGCAGCAATGTCGATCCTGTATTTCATAAAACTATATATCTTAATTAGCATCTGTGATATCTTAAATATTTAATAAGATATCTTTTATACTATAGAAAACATTTCAAACATATATTTTGCTGAAGATATCTCATTAAATATATGAGATATCTTATATATACCATATGTTATATCTTATATAAAATGTATGAACTGTTTTATATAATACAGAAGAAATCTCATATAATTATGTATACTATTTTGTAGTAATAACTAAACGGTGCTCGGAGCGAGCAGAATATCCGAATCGCAGACGCACTAACCTAACCACACTTTAACCGCGATAATAATACACCATAAACCAAATATAAAATAAGTTTGTGTAAAATATTTGTCACAAAAGTTATTTATTAAGTTACTGTCTAATATATTTTTGTTTATATAGAGTGAGGAAATTACATATAAACTATTGTTCACTATATATTACATATGAAATGTTGTGCACGATGCATTACATATATGATCCTGTGCACTATGCATAACATATACTATTGTGCACTTTGCATAACATATATACTATTGTGCACTTTGCATAACATATATATTATTGTGCACTTTGCATAACATATATAATATATGCACTTTGCATAACATATATACTATTGTGCACTTTGCATAACATATATAATATATGCACTTTGCATAACATATATACTATTGTGCACTATGCATAACATTTATACTATTGTGCACTATGCATAACATATATACTATTGTGCACTTCGCATTACATATATAACGATGTGCACTATGCATTACATTACAAAGACGTTCTCCTTTTTTATAGTTCCTTGTGTACTCTCAATTTCTACTCCCATATTGATAAAATGTTATTAAAAACGTCTTTACTGTCGCACAGACTTTGTTAATAACAGATCAACTATCCTTATTATCACACAGACTTTGTTAATAACAGATCACCTATCCTTATTATCACCCATACTTTGTTAGTAACAGATCACCTATCTTTATTATCACACAGACTTTGTTAATAACAGATCACCTATCTTTATTATCACCCAGACTTTGTTAATAACAGATCACCTATCCTTATTATCACCCATACTTTGTTAATAACAGATCACCTATCTTTATTATCACACAGACTTTGTTAATAACAGATCACCTATCCTTATTATCACCCAGACTTTGTTAATAACAGATCACCTATCCTTATTATCACACAGACTTTGTTAATAACAGATAACACATACTTACTGTCGTACAGAGTTTTTTTTTTTATAACAGATAACACATCCTTACTGTCGTACAGACTTTTTCTATAAAAGATAACACATCCTTACTGTCGTACAGCCTTTTTCTATAACAGATAACACATCCGTACTGTCGTACAGACTTTTTCTATAACAGATAACACATCCTTACTGTCGTACAGAGTTCTTCTATAACAGATAACACATCCTTACTGTCGTACAGACTTTTTCTATAACAGATAACACATCCTTACTGTCGTACAGACTTTGTTAATAACAGAAAACACATCCCTACTGTCAATGTGTTCACTTAAGATGAAAGAGAAATCATCTACACTACCTGTTGTAAAACGAGGGATCATTTACCAAACTTACAGGACTTTTTTGATAACTTGCAAATCATGTGTTTTATGGCCGCCTTTTTTTGAAACAGGTCAAATTCATCATGCAAGTCCTCGTGTTGTTGGTGGCCGTGATGGTCCAGCTCGCCGCTGGACAGGACGACCCTTTCGCTATGTTTAATACAAACACAAACAGTATGAGTTCGGGGACACAGACCTCATTCGGTCAGCTTCCACCGCCGGAGACCTCCTCAACAAATACATTTGGTCAGGCACCACCTGCAAATACGCCCAATCAGTTTGGTCAGCCGCAACCCACTGGACAACAGCCGCCTACGGCCACACAGTTTGGGCAGCAAAACCAATTTGGTCAGCAAGTTCCGGCGCAACCTGCCGGCCAACCTACCAATCAGTTCCCGACGAACGGTAACAACCCGCCGATGTCCTTCCAACAACCCCAGCAGGGGGCATTTGGTCAACAGCAGAACACGTTTGGAAATCAACCCAATAATAACATGAATCAGATTGGCGGTCAGCCTGGCAACATGAATTCCTTAGGCAACAGCGGGATGAACCAAGGGAACAGCCAGCAACAGCTCACACCCGACCAGGCGTTTTTAGTGGGAGGACAATGGAACCAGCAACAACCGCAGCAAAATAATGGTAAGACACCTTAAGAACTAGAATTAATTGAAATTCTGTTATTTTCACCGTCTGTACACAAAAATAAATAAAAATGATATTTGAATCAATTCGATAAGCTTTATTGAGACCTACTTGCCTTACCTAGTAACTATTCACTGTTTTAAAGTTGCAATCAAGAGTCCGTTTTATATATGAAACATCGTCTATTGGCATTTCAGTGAGATAGCACTATAAAGTCGGCATCAGTTCCGCGCTATCACAAGGTGGCAATCTACCAACATACCCTGTCTTATGCATACACACACGCACGCACGCATGCACTACACACATGGAGGCACGTCCTTAGATGACCTTTGCTGTTAATAGAACGTTTAACCAAACTAAACCAAACCAAAATTGTATGTGAGATCTATTGCCGATTTGTTCTACCTAAGTAAAGCGTGTTTTCCTCATGGGAATGTAATATGATAATATTGGTAAATGTCTGCAGTAAATCAGACTGAATAATTTATTGGCAACGATCTTTTTATAATGTTTTCGAATACACTAGGAAACAGGTGCTAAACGTGACTCTGCTATCAGTCCTCAGGATGGTTGTTGTGTTGTCTATAGAATTAGGTTTAGGGGTAAATAGGGACTTTTAGTGAGAGGGAGTGTATCTATTGAGAGTGACTTCACACATAACTGAGATAAATATATGCACTTCTGATTCGTTTTTCAGGTAGAACCATGTTCTCCAGTTTCGACCCCAACAACCCGGCCCCATTCCAACCACAAGGTCAACAAACCAGTTTCGGTAATGGCCAGTTTGGTGGTACCCAGCAATTTGGAGGTCCTCAGAATCCAAATCAGAACTTCATGAATTTGGGAACGTCCGGAAATGATTTGAATACTTTTCGAGATAACAATCTTCCCGTTGGAGAAGTCGATAATATCCGGTTTGGAATTGGACCAAATCAACAGCCGTTCCGTATGGATGCTGGAACAATGAATTTTGGACAAAACCAACAACAGAGACCTGCCGCTCCTGCTAATAACTTCTCGCCCTTTTCTCCTTTCACTACCGGAGGCGTTGATCCGGCAGGATTTGGTGGCATGCAAGGAGGCGGTATGGGAGGTATGCCGGGTGCAGGTATGGGAGGTATGCCGGGCGCAGGTATGGGAGGTATGCCGATGGGGGTTATGCCAGGAGGATTTGGAGGCGGATTCGGAGGCCCCGGACCCCAGGGATTCGGATCTTTCCTCCCTCCACCCCCACCCCAACCTTCCGGAGGCATATTCAGCAGACTGTTTGGCCGCGGGGCTGGCAGTGGCGGTGGTTTTTTCACGAGTCGTAAGTAAATTATTGAGCTTACGGTATATGCACTAGAAAACAACAGAAGCGTTTCAAAATAACGTTCTCCTGCTTAAAACTTGTGTTTTGTACGTACTAGTGAGCTAACGTATAATTGGAATGTTGATATGATCCAGCTCAAGTATATAATATGTCATTAATATGTTTATTAATATAATATATAATTTTTATATATATTAATATAATGTATCATTATTATGTTTATTAACGACCTGCACTTGTTTCTATTTCCAGTTTTCGGGAAAAAGAAGTAAACACAATCGTAGAGGGGCGACGTGATAGAGCAGAATCTGTCCTGTAGATGTCACGTCACGTGCGGACCCGTTTATGAACTAAACGATGGAATATGATAAATTTTGTCCTGGAAAGTGGGAACGACTTTAATTGTGCATTAATATCGTAAATCATACTTTCCAAAATTGAAATTTTTCAAGATCGAAAACTTATATGAGCATGCTTACGTTGATTGCCAGGAGCTTGCTGATAACAACGCACACGTGGACAACAGGAGCAGCTTGTCCGATGATGCTGCGTTATACCGGTCCCTGTGATCTTTTACGCCTTGTTAAGTGCTGAACCGAGCCAAACTTTACGAAATACTGATGAACCCAGACAAACTTTACACAATACTGATGAACCTAATCAATCTTTATACAATGCCGATGAACTTTGTCAAAATAAACGCAATGCTTATGTACTCAAATCAAGCTTTACACAATATTTATAAAGCTAGTAAACTACAGGATCATACTTTGAAATTGCGAAATAATAACCACAGGAATCGGGCACATTTACATACATCATAAATGAGTTTTGATACTAATAATGTGTCGGGCACCTGTGGGAATCATATCCCACCAAAGTCCCGCTCAAGACGTAATTTCCATAGTTGTTGTTTCTATAGCAACATGCATTAACTAGATAATTGTACGATTTCTTAAATACACGAGTTTGTATCGAACCTTTTGTAAGTGATATCCTGTATATTGTATGACAGGAATTGATTTTGCGTTAATGTTATATCGTAAAGAAGAATATGTTTTGTATTTTGTTATAATAAAATAATTTTAAGCGTCTCACACTTAAAGTGATGTATTTGAAATCGTTCACACAGTATGAACGCTGTCGTCTTGCATAACTATTGAAATTGACTGAGAGCGACTTTGTATTTCACGACGAAGTAGTCTGGTACGTTTAGAAAATATTTATCTGCTGCTATATACAAAGAGGCGTTACTGAAATATAATGAAATATTCAACACATTAGTGACATGTGTTCAAAGACGGTGATAATTACACTATATAAATGGCCTCCTTATGATGATAACTGCACATCTAAAATGATTAAACGTGAAAACTGCACGTGTAAAATGTTTATACTGTGATAACTGCACATGTAAAATATTAATACTATTATATAAAAGACCACCTCAAGATGATTATATTTGCGCGTGTAAAAAGTTTATAAATATTGCACGTGTAAATTTATGTATAAACCACCGATATATAGTGGTAACTGCACGTGTAAAATGTTCATGCGGAGATAACCACGTGTAAAATATTAATAGTATTATATAAACGTCCTCCTCAAGATGACGAAAAGTACACGTGCAAAATGTTTATATATATATAAACGGCCTACTCGTTGTTGTCTTGTGATGAACTGTTTAGATGTCTGATGTGCTCGTCGTTTTGTTTTGCCTTGTAATCTTCCGGATTAAAAACGTTTAAAAGCAACTTTCCACGAATGTTTTCTTTATTTGTAGCATAGGCATCGTAAATTACAATAAAAAATACGAGTGCATTTCAATCCATATAAAGGTACGGAACTCTACCAGAAATGTAAACATGGCTTATATACTTCAAACCACTGTGGAAACGACAAACAACAGTCAATTCGGACAAATTATACCCCTGATAATTATTTCATTCGATCACAAAGGATAGAAATTCAATACGAAACTTGCACACATATTTACGATTATTGAATACAAATATAAAATTTCGAACATAAATATAAAATGATTGAATATTGCATTATTTGACACGCCATACTCCTACTTTTATACCACAATGTGTTCCATCTAGGACCACTGACTTTGGCTTGGTCGCAAATCTACACACACTTTTGTCGAGTGGGATCCTAAAATGTTTCCAGGTGAATTAACTAGCAGGGTGTACTTGTACGTCAGTATACACTGACAGAGTCCTCGAGCCTTTTCAAACATGCTGTCATTTTTCTCTCTCTTCCGGGTCTCTAATGGCTATCAACAAGCGTTCTGACAGGTCGAATACAAGTAAACACTATTAACGTTAAGGTGAAGAATTGACCAATCAATAATGTCATGGAGTGTCATATATGGTATTGATAATTGACTTCGGACAGCCTTTTCGTCGACTGTTTGTAGTTGATTAGTTTCACATGGGTTGCTAAATTCTAATAGCTATATTTCCTAGCTTACTATATCTTATGAAAAGACGATATGATATAGATCATGTCACATGATACACGAGACAACACTACAAACACACGTGATCTTGAAGGGTAAGTGTCCTCTGCTTCCTCGACGACACCCGCCATGCAAATTAAACTCTAGTCCAATAATGTCACCTCCTTGAAATAGAATATTTCCCAAGAAATCATGATGGCGAACATAAATATTGTCATAGTTCCATCAACCCGAATCCCTCAAAACTCTGTACTGTGTGTTGTCAGTTAGCAGTCGACATATATCCCGGAACCATGATATACGTAGCAAGCTCTAAAACACCTTTGAAAAGTAAAAAGTTCTGGTAGAAGAAAATAATTTGAGGATAGGATGTTAAAGTTTGATGATAATCCACATTCCATTAATCCCACTTCTAGACAGTGTCACACTACGACTGTAACCCTGATTAAATAGTACTAAGACTGATAGTCAGACGTTTGGACAATAGTAAGAGGGTGATAGTGTTTGCAGATAAACATTAAGTTCTTGGATGCTTTGTCTTCAGACACAGCTACATACTTATCATGTAGATCGTTGTTTGTGGTTTGGAAATCAGAGTCAAGAAATGCAGACTTGAGTTTCGTTTTCAAGCATCTATTTTTCTAATAATGGACCTGATGCATTCGACCCAATCTGAAAATGAATCCAATCAATCATGCTCTCGTTTTGCCCATTGTCTGGCGTAGTCTTCAACAGAATCCATAAATATCTTAAAATTGACATTTTAATTGATAGTAGAAGACTCAAGATACTTAGGAACCTTCATCACAAGCCTTCGTAGGTTTGCATAATATTTAAATCGCCAGTGACGTGATGTCAAGAGTAGTAGTATTCCGTCTTTGCAGGTATTGATTGTTACGTCACAAACCAATGACGTAACAATCAATACCTGCTCACAAGAGAAGATAACTCTGCAATACGCAAAGACGGAATAGAAATTACATGCTGAAGTAGGGAGTTATTCTAAAGTCATCTACATTTGTTAAGTTTTGCTTCTGTCACTGCTATGACTACCGCATTAGTCCAATTAACTATCCTCCCTTTAAAGTTGACAAGGGAAACGCGTTTGCCCACTGATCGCAATGGCGTAGGCTTTATTTCCGTAGACTATCGTATCAATGTTGAAGAACTCAACATGCTTAATAGAGCTTAATAGAGTTTAATATGGTCTGTTCTGGGTGCTATGGTGTCTGTGCTATTATATCAAAAATAGCATGACACAATAAAAGACCCGATAACATTTAACGCAAAACACAATACAACCTTCAGCACATACAGGTTTCTCTTTAATCAAAAGTATAGTATGTGTTAAATATATGTAAGGGAGAGGGCTCAGTCCGGTTTTGAAACGTTTGCCCGGTCGAATTGATTTATTTTGACGATTAAACCTATGAGGTACTAAGTGAGATCACCTGGTAAGATGTACTCCAGTAAGGATGTTCCAGCACTGTCCTGATTTTACATACCAGTCCTCAGATAAATGTTGAGTGCACTTGAGTTGTTTCCACGATATTAGGTACAAATGTATATGCATATATTTTTTTTTGCTCATCTACATGTAAAAACAATTAAAAAGCTATATAAAGCACTTTTGAAATGCATACCATTTATATTATATATGCATTAGGTTCTAAAGATTTTAAGTCCTGTGTAATATACGGAGCGCGAGTTTGATAAATCTCACTGACACTGTGTGTCAAATGGCGCGCACTATACACATTTGCAATAACCAAAGAATGCTTTTGGCGCATATGGCTGTAATATTAGATACTAAACAAACTTACACGCCGTTATGAAGTCGTTAATGCAAAAAAAAAAAATTGCATCCACATTACCAACATGACCGATCACGTCTAGTCTTTAGAAATGAACAATGTGATGAAAAAAATAATTATCCACATTATCACCATAAGCGAGTGATATATATCCATTTTTGCAATACACTAGTGCAATTTGAGAGTCAAATGAACGTTTGTGTGGTATTGCTTTGTATACATAAAAAACTTGCTGTGTCACTTTGGAATGATTAATCAGCTGTGTAATGAAATAGTATACCTCCTATGTCAGGGAGTTATACAGTGTCCACATATCATATTACTGTTGGGAAAGCAATCAATTGTTTACTAACGTGTAAAGTGATATTGTACTAAAGGATGAGCGTAACACATACAGATGACTGCACCCTCAGAATTCGGTACTAGATACAGTAAGCCAAACATGAATTACACTGCATCACACAGAGGTTTTGTCCTTCTATGACTCAGCGGTGATGCTCGAGACAACAATAGGAAATTCAAATTGTCGAAACTACTGTTAAAACAGGGGGCATGTGCGTAAAACCAATAAATTATGAACATAAAAACATAGAGGAGAACTGGTTAATTTTAAATTAAAGAATAGATAAAGTGTGAATATTATGAACCAGGCCACTACTCAAATTGATATTGGTACATTAACATGATATGGGTTAAATGGGTGTAGTATGGAGTTCTCATTAAACCTCCGAAAACGACTCTTTTGAGAAGAAATAAATCAGTCTAAACGAAAAACTGCAACTAAGAGCAGTTGTTGTGGCAGATATGCAATATTCCTTATTCTTATGACATTTTCTGTTGCCATGGCGTACAATAGGGACTAATCAGAATTATGTTTTCAATATATACCGTATAACCGCAAACTTAATCCTTGATATTCCTTATAATGTATAATTAAACAGGACAGACAACACCTTTAAGTTAATAGCTAATGATTAACCTCTGATAAAATGCATTGTAATTTCATCGCTGAATAACTTAAACGAATCAGATGTTAGCATTACAAATACCGCGTGCAACACGAAATGTCCCTTGACAAATGATACTTGGAAAATTTCACACAGTCAAATATTCTCAGGTGAATTTCTTTTTTACCAAGTGTAAATTTCGCTCATGACGTGTTATTACCAAATAAGGTATGCTGTGTACTAATATTCGCTGTAATAATAACTTCACCCTCATTGCGGAGGGTGAAATAGGCGAAAGTTAAACTGCGACGAAAGTTTCCCAGTATACAGTACCTTACAAGTTTGAATTATGAAATCATTACAGCGTCTGAATACATGTTATAAATGTGTGGTGACACATCAGGTGAGTATTAGGGTTCCAGGATGATATGACTCAATGAGTTGTTAATTCTGGATCATCTTTTTAGTACTTAAACATGCAGATACAGAGGATTCGACCATCACTACTTTTAAAATCGTCGAAAATATCCCTTTGTCTTATTTGTATTGTAGCTGACGTATTTAACTATATAATTAATTCTTTCTTTCAATATGTATGCTTTGATATATTGCACTTATAACTTCACTTATGGAAACCAAACCATCCATCATTCCCAAAACTGTACGAAATAGATGTTTTATTATTTTCCATCCAAACATTTCTTTGTTAAATGCTTTCAAATACAATGTAATTTGAAAAAATATCATTGAGCCGATCTTCGTCTTTGCTCGAAAGCGTTCGCTTTGTTTATAAATTGAACATATGTTATTGGATAAACTGTTCAGTTGACCCTCTTGTTAGGTGTAAGGTTTAAATAGGTTTTACAATACAAGCACAGCGGCATCCCTGATGTTTCAAGTTAAATTCACAGTGAAAGTATCACTAGCACAGCATCAGACTCTTCACTTGTGAAAAGCCTATCCCTCGGACATTTTCACTTCCATGTTGCTGGTGTCCGGGATACATCATTGTTAGAGGAATAGTTGATCACATTATTCTTCTGTTTTGTTCTGTTTTGTTGTATTACACAGTTCGGCTACAAGTGTCAAAATGGATCCTCCTAGTATACATAGCCCTGAAATAAACACATTATTATTAACTTGCTATATCTATCAGACATATATATATAAATAAATGAATTCAAAAATTCAAAAATTGTTCATAAGCATCAATAAATAAATAAAGGCTATTTCTCCAAGGAAAAAAATTATGAATCTTCAATTAATAATTTTAAAATGACGATAGGCAATTCAGAGAAGAATAAGACATAATATTTTGGCACCCATTACAATGTTTTCCGACAGTTCCATGAAAATATATAAGAAATGCAGGTCACCAAACACAAAAGACACAGTGCAAACATGTATTTTTACGGAATACAGACGATTTTTTGAGCAAGCAAAAGTTCAGATTCCCTGCGATTAGTCGCATATGGCTAAAAGAACTTGTACAGCTAACAGGAAAAGAAGGGAAAGGTGAAAAAAATATGAA